GTGTGTGTATGTGTGTGTGTGTGTGTGTGTGTGTGTTTGTGTGTGTGTGTGTGTGTGTGTGTGTTCATGTGTATGTATTCGTGCATGTGTATGCCACACACACATATCATGACAACTCACCCGTAAGCCCCAGCCATGGGGTGCAGTAAAGAACTGTAAAAACCCACAGCCCTCCCACGATCCTTTTAGCCCGGGTGAGAGTACACAACGTCTGGGCTCGGATCGGGTGGCAGATGGCGATGTACCGCTCGATCGTGAAGGCTGTGATGGACAGAGCGGAGCAGTCGATGCCCAGATACTGGAGGAATATGAGAAGGGAGCACATCACCCGCCCGTACGGCCACTCATCCACACGGTAGAAGGGCTCCGGGATTGCGGGGAGGGTGGCGGAGATGAGGACAAGCAAGTCTGCCACGGCGAGTGACAGGAGGTAGCAGTTGGTGGTCGTGTGCATGCTCCGTGTCCGCACGATGACCAACACCACGAGGGCATTGCCTAGGATACCGAAGGTGAAGATAACGGCACTGAGGGTGACTGCAACAGCAGCGAAGAGGCTGGAGTAGTACATGGCGGAGGGGGCAGGTGGAGGGACGTCGCTGCTGCTGCTGCTGCTGCTGCCACCACCACTGCTTTCGTTCACGTTGAGGTTTGAGATGGAGTGAGTTGTCCAGTTGAGTAGTTCTTGTCTGACGTCATGGTGGTCAGTGGTCTCCGGCGGGAGGAGCGTGTTGGTGTCCGGGTTCTTGACAGACTTGCCTGACCAGGGTGGACGCTCTGACGTCATTGATGCGTTGTGGGAGGCTAGTCGCCGCGCATGTGTGTTGTTGGAGGGAGAGAAGGAGGAGGAGGAGGATGAGGAGGAGGGGGAGGAGGCTGGACTTGCTGGGGAGTGTCGGTAGTGGGCGTGGTGGTGAGACTGGTGAACTGTGCGCCGGAAGTGGTTGGGGGGCGTGTCTCCCGCGTGTGCAGGGGGGAGGGAGGGGGAGAACAGGGCAAGGGAGATTAGTACAGCCAGCCAGGGGGAGGAGAAGGGGGGCAGGAGGGTGCTCCTCATGAGGAGGGGGGAAGACCACAGCATGGC